AATTTTTAACAAGAAAAACCAAACTGCTAAGGTGGCGCTTCCCGATCCCGCCAAAAAGTCCTATGATGCTTTTTTACCAGCATGCAGTAATACATTTTTTATTGAAAGTTTAGGTAATATGTACCGAAGCAAAGGACGACAACAGTTTAAAGTTTAACATGAAAATTGTTTAAATCATATAATCAAATTATATTGAGTTAAGCACCTTTATAAAAATCTTTTATTCTTATCTAGAGGTGTCCGTGCATTTTCACCCGCGTTACAGTAGAGCCTCGCTAATCCGGACCCCCGTTACTTCAGTACACGCTGTAATCTGGACAAGCGAGGGGATCGCATGTGGGGTGTATTACATACCTTTTTAAGAAGAATTGACTTTCAATTTTTTTTATTTCATGTTAAGAGCCCTTTTACAAAATTGCGCCGCTGCTGTACTGATCGGCTCGTAGGTAGAATTGCACTAGTAATATTGCATTTTATGGGTGATGTTTCGAGTCTTATAAAATAATTATTAATGAACTAATTATAAAAATATATAAATATTTTAGTAATTCAATAATGGTAGATCAGTTTTATTAAAGTTTTTGATAGTAATTCCATTTAATTCAATATCAAAATACGGGTATACCTGCATTGTTTTTTGGGAAAACTCACGGAGGTTAGATGTTTTTTTTTGCAAATAATGTGAAAGGGCTCCTAAGTGCGCAAGTTACTTACATGTTTGAATTTTTTATGCACATAATTAAATATTCTTATCTAAGTTCACTTTAAACCCAAGTGAAAAATGTGTGTTTTATTCCTATTAAAATATTGTATACATGCATAATTCATATGCCTCTTTAATTTGGAAGGGGTCTTGTTATTTTAATTCCGGATAAGTGAGACCCTACAGTAATTCGAAAAAAAAAGACATAGCGGGTCACCCATTTCTCTGGGGTTACCCTTAAAAAATATACTTATGCTGTCTCGGGGATTTTTGTAGGAGCTTTAAAAGGAAACAATTCCGTTCCGTCATACATGACTTTTGTGTAACTTTTACCGTTTACGCAGCGTACGCTACGGAGGTTCTCTAATGGAATATTTTGTCTTTTCTTGGAACATTTTCATTGGTGCTCCGCTCATATTACTAGTAGCGTTATATCATATGCGCCTAAAGCTTTCCTCGATAAATGCACTATCCACCACAATAATAATTTATCAAATCGGACCAGTAGATTAGCGTGTTCAACCAAACATATACATAACTATAGAAAGAATGAAAAAATGTAAAGAGCGTATTATTCGCCAACAAACTGACTTTTCAGTTTGGCGAAATAAGTTGTTTTTGTATACCTGTATTTTTAGTGAAAATAAATAATAAAAAATAAAAAAAAAACAAACAACACTTCCGGTTTATACGAGTAACTATAATATTAGTGGTAGATTTATTAAAAAAAACAAAAGCCACATGTTTGAAGTAACATCACTTGGAACGCTTCGTCCGAATTGGCCGATAGATGTTTTAGGTTGCAAACGGAACCCTACTAATATGCTTTCGGTCTGTCTGTCTGTCACCACAGGTTTGTCAGCAGCTTTGTCTTTTAGACGGAAATAGACAGACACCTGAAATGTTCATAGAAACTGCTACTGAAGCCGTTAAGTATTTAATACTTATTTTAAACCCGTTGAAATACTTGTTTCATAAAAAAAAAATGAGGTGACAGCTATCGGCCGATAGTTGGCCGGGTCTGAGCGGTCCCCTTTTTGTTCTGTATTCTGAAATTGTAGGAATGATGGATTGTATTGAGATATACTGGGTTTGAATGAAAGATACTTACGAAAAATTCTCGAATCAGACCAAAATTTATCAACCAGAAAACTAGGTGTGCTTCTGTACTACGATCGTTCGACGACGGAACTTACTATAATACGCACTGCAGCGGCCAGCAAAAGAGGCATTGATGAACGATGCCGAGGCACACATACGTAAGTCCATCAATGCCTGGTTGTGGCCAAGTACTTTTCTCAAATAATGCGCGTAAATAAAAACTAAACAATTACTTTTTAAAAACAATGACGAACAACAAACAGCAATATTTTTTCTCGCGTTAGTGTTCATTTGTTTTTTTTTTCAATAAACAGCTTCATATTTGCAAGGCAGTTTGAAATTTAAATAAAACCTTTGATAAGTTTCCTTCTTGGTTGTTATATTGCGAAGTAAAAAATGTTCCGACTTTTTGGCGGGATCGGGAAACGTCACTTCAGCAGTTTTGTTTTTCTTGTTAAAAATTGTGTTGTGGCGGATGTTGGTGTTTAATAATGGTGGATTATTAACCACTTAGTGTTCGGGAACATGCACAAGTGTTGGCAAGTGAAACAAAATAGCGGGAAGTGTCTTTCGACGTTCCCTCAAGAAGTCCACGGGGTGGTTCCAGTAAATCCTCACACTTTTACTGAAGTATAGGGAAAGGGGGATTGACTTGGCTGCCGCTTACTTTGACTTGATTTATAACTTTGACTTGATTTATAACTTTGACCACGGGTGCTATAGCATGTGTAAACATTTTGACACTTTACATTGGCTAAATGCACAAGCCGTGCGAAGCCAATTAAAAAAAAAAAGAATGTTCCATTTTTAAATTACACGATACATATGAGTTTACCATGTAATTTAGTAAAACCATGAAAATCCATAATTATATGTACTTACAGTGCATTTTCATATAACTTATGCCAGCCGCTGCGCCAATGTAGGTAAATACCTACATTGGCCAAATGGCCAGAACAGCAAAGCAATTTCAATTTCAATTTATCTAGAAGAAGGTTGTCAAAATTACGTAATGCTCAAATTTCCATGTATATCTGAAAACTAAAAGTTTATGTTTTTTTCTTGATATACTTACATAATAACATGTATTGTTAACGTCGAAGTTATTGAAATTTTTCACAATTTTAAGGTTACAGAACAAGTCTAGTGTTCTGATATTAATTTTGTTTTTTTTGAGTGTGTATGATGTTGGTCGCAGATGACCTTTACAGAGTCACCGGGTTTGGGGACGGCGAGATCCTAAGGGGACCTCAAGCCGAGAATTGTCGAGTGTCTTTGGAGGTATTCCAGGCGGGTGGCGTCTCCCCACGGAGGGAGTCTCCTCTCCGTCTGGAGCCTCTAGACCACTCGAACCTGAGGGGGTCGGCTCAACTAGAGGGCGTTTCTGAGACTCGGACCTCGGTTCTAGTTAGCCGTTGTCGTGGGGGGTATTAATTTTGTGCAACCTAAATACATATGTAAATCTAAAGAAAATATAACTAGAAAAAATTCCACGCGGACCAGGCAGCAGACGGGACTCGAACCCGCACCCTTCGCAATCCGGGCGAATGCACTGACCAATTATGCTACCGCGGCCCTCACGGACCGCGTCGAAATTCCTTCTAGCTATTCTTAAGCTGCAAGGCAGCGCCATCTCTTCGCATTATAGGTAAACCCACAATGTTATAGTTATATTTTCTTTAGATTTAAACATCAAGCAGTTACATGCTTTAAAAATAATAAAAATTATAACATATGTAAATGTCAAAATGACAAACCTGCTGATTTTCGTTGCTGATCAAATTGAATAATCGCAAACTACCTATAAAGCTCAAATAATTTATAACCGCTGCAAGTTACCTTATCATTATTTAAATGACTCTCAAGTTGGAACATGCATTTTGGACAATCAGCTTACGTTGTTTACGGAATGTTGACCAATTATAACTACCAGTATGTATGAATATAACAATTAAATTTCTTTTTATACAAGGAATTGTGTACGAAGTTGAAAAAGATTGTTTCATATTAAGAATGACTGGCCAGACTTTCTCGTCCAAACCAAAAATTAAGACAGGACTTTCCGCTCGAATTGTAGACCATTTGCCTTACAGAAAGAAGAGTGTAGCAATTAGGGTAGACTGTATAATGATTGGCCCTTTAAGCGGGATTCTTCATTTGTTTATCTGTACTAAAATAATTATTAGTTTACTATTAAATATGGTTTCACAATGCTATTAAATCCTTATTTCATCATCAGCCTATTAATGTCCCCACTTCTGGGGCACATGCCTTTTCTATGGATGGAATAGGGAGATTGGGCCGTGACCCATCACGCAGGCCCAGTGCGGATTGACGGGTGCTAACGACTGCAGATGCATCCGGGAACAACGGCTTAACGTGCCTTCCGAAGCACGGAGGAACTCGAGACAGAAAATTTTTGGTCACCCATCCAATGACGGTTCACTGCGAAAGTTACTTGACTTCAACGATCGCAGCCGAACGCGCTAACCACCTGCGCCATTGAGCTCCTAATCCTTATTTCCTACTTCTTTAATTCTTATTAACTTCTTTATATTTTAGTGTAGGTATGCATGAGTGGGGGCTAATTATTGTGGGATGGCCAACTTTAGCACCGGTTCCCCTAACACCATATTTAAGTCTTGTATATCCACAATGAGTAAAGTTTTTCAGAACTCTCACTCGGCTCATTACAAAAAGCGTACTAAACTTAGTCTTGGTTTAAATGTAATGTTGTCCCTATCTTCTTTTAAGTTCACCAAAAGTGACAGCTTCTGTTGGTTTAACTTTAGTCTTCGTTTTGTAATAAGATGGCACGTGGAACATGGTAAACCACACATGAAGTGAATATTCTCTAGTCTGAAAGTATAACTGTTCGTACGCTACGGTTAAAAACTTTAGACTTGTGTATAGAAAATAAATTGTTTAATAGGTAGTTAGGCACTCGTACTGTGCTTCGCTGCACATTCTATCTAAAGTTAACAGTGCTTATGTAAAAGACATATAAAGGAAAAAAATGGATGACTTTTAAAAAAAAACAATGAGTATTTAAATTGTCTCGTGTCGTCGTCTGCGAACGCCGGCAGTTCAAAGTCCGCCGCGTTGTAACCCAGAATGCATTTCCAGCACACCACGTGGTTACACGGCTTCCTAACTTTTTGCAACACGGAATCTGGTTTGACCAACCAACCGAACCGTGAGATCGTACGACAGAAACGCTGCCAAGCCACCCGGCCAGTACTAGACACACGTCTGTGAGAGCAACACGCGCGCGCCACAAAGCGCGCCATTTTGAAAACGCGCGAAGCTTTGCACGCGTGAAAACTTTTTTCGTGTGTGAGCCCGCCAAGCGTTTCGTTCCGATTCGCGTTAAATGTGCAATTTAATAATGTAGTGGATATTTTTTTTTTGTGAGGTGTCTGTGGATTGTTCACTTGTTTTTTTTTGCAGTCCGAATTCTGGACAGGTAAATTATGGAGTTTTAAATATTGTTATAAATAAATAAAATTCATTTATTTCGAGCAACATAACTCATTATCATAATAATAATACATAATCAATTACTATAGAAATAGGTGCATGTCACTTAAAATACAACTAATCATTTATATAATTTAAAATTAATTCATAACAATAGTTAGTTAGTTTTTAAATGGAAAGTTATGACTATCGTATTTTTGTTAACTTATGTGTTTATGCTGAAACGTTACGTTTACGTTACGTTACGTTTTTGCAACTTCACCATTACTAATTAAAATACTTAATCATAATTGGCAATATTAAGTACGGAAATATCAAAAGAATTAATTCAGAGTAAATTTTTTACATGTCTCGCTAATTATGAATAGAGGAACACCTTGGCTGAATGACAGAGTACCTTGGTCTTGATTCGAGTCTGTCAATTTGGTAAAGAACCGACGACGAAATTTCATTTTGTTTAATTTACTTAGTCGAAACATGATAAAAAATTACTCAATGTTCTAAAGTAGAAACTTACTTAATAAGTCATTGCATTTAAAAATCAGACAAACAAAATTAATACATCCTTTACTTGTAATTTTGAGTCACTTTGACGATTTATCTTATCTTTATATATATAATTCTTCTGTGAGTGTGTATGTCACTGAACTTCTCTTAAACGACTGGACCGATTTTGATGAAATTTTTTGTGTGTGTACAAGGGGATCTGAGAATGGTTTAGATTCACAATTTTGTCCGCTGGACAACAACTAAATATTTTTTTAGGGCGGTACGAAGTTCGCTGGGTCAGCTAGTATACTATAAAATTGTCACAATGTTAGATACCATACTCCTCCGAAACGGCTTGACCGATTTCTACGAAATTATAAATTCATATTCAGTAGGTCTGAGAATCGGCTACTATCTATTTTTCATACCCCTAAGTGATAAGGGGACACCCCTATCATTTATTTCGATTTTTTGGACAAAATTTTTTTCTTTTATCTTTTAATAATGTGGCATTAAAAAATACATCAACCCCAAATTATCACCCTTCTATTACCAAACCCCTATTTTTAAAGAAATTCCTTAGAAATAATTTATATGGCAAAACAACATTTGCCGGGTCAGCTAGTTACTATATAACATAACTCGTTGTAGATTGTTGTAAAATTATCATGAAATAAAACGTTTTTTAATACTTTGATACATTCGTCACTTCCATAGTAAATTTACGAATTTTAATTTCATAAAACCTTCTAAGCCAAAATATCGTATATTAATTTGGTAAGTTTACTTTGGACGTATAAGCATAAAATGCAGATTCAAACAATTAGACTTTTGGAATCGTTATTGATAAAATTGTGTGATTTTTTCCTGGTGTTAAGTACCCCATTATGTGCAGTGTTTTATTATAGATTTTTACTAAAAAAGCAGATTCGTAAGTTTGCCGTATATGTGACGCATTGGTATCTCTACGTTTTGGTTCCTTTACAGGCTTCGTTCCCAAGAGTATGATTTCTAAATCATACTTTTTCTTTTTTTTTAATCATACTCTTAAGAACAAAGACTGCAAAAGATCCGAAATGAAGAGGTATGTAAGTATAGAAAGTATTTTTAAAAACGCACCTGTAACATAAAAAATAAAAAAGATCATGTAAGTTAAGTTAAGGTTTTAAACTTGTCACAAAATTAACATAATTATTGTATGTTACTTTCATTCCGTACTAAGTAAGTAGCTAAAGCATTCGGGTTATTGGAATCAGAAAGACCAAAGCGACCAGAAACACAAGAAAATATTATTCATAACTTAAGTTTCGTGAAGTTATATTTTGACTACTTTAGTATTAACACTATGGATGATAATTAACTTACTTTCTTCGTCTTTCAGGTAGATTATCGAAATGTATTGGTCTCGTATTTTGTGTTTATTCACAAAACATTACTATACTATACACTCGATATCACAACTAAAACTGCTATCCGAATTGTATAATAATCTAAGTATAAATAAGTTACCACGCTTGATAACGGAGCTTTGTTTACCTATATTTAAAAGAGAGCCTAAAACGTGGCTAATAACGAACTGTTTTTACTTCGAGAATTTTTAGAAACGAAAATTGTCCTAGAATAGAATAAATAAAATAAGTACATATCAATTTTATAATTAAACTAGCTGACCCAGCGAACTTCGTACCGCCATAAAAATAGGGGCAGGTGGAGAAGAGAAAATTTAGGGCTCTATGTATTTTTTAATACCACATTATAAAAAATAAATATTTAAAAAAAAACATTCCTCCTCACCCATATGAAAACACGACGTTACATTACCCAATAGTTTGAATTTTGGCGCGAAGGCGCATTGTAGGTTTCAGAACACTACATTACAGGTGGATAACCATTATCTCATATTCTCAGACCCACGGAATATGCATATAAAATTTTATAAAAATCGGTCAGGCCGTTTCGAAGGAGTATGGTAACTAACATTGTGACACGAGAATTTTATGTATAAGATTAAGTTGACATTCACATGGCATGGCCCTGTCGTTGACAAAATATGTAGACGAACTATATCAAAATTACCACCAAAATGAATCCCTACTCTGTTGTGTGTGAATAAATAAATTTCATTTCATTTCATTTTAATTAAAACATGACAGAGATACCTATATTGATTTGAAATGTTGCATGACGGCCTTTTTTTTTAAATTTTTATTGTTAGGTCCGACAAATGACTCCTGATGTTAAGTGACGGTGAAGTCCAGACGCGAAGATAGCTAGAAAGAAGAAAGAAAGAAAGAAAAACATTTATCGACGACATACATTAACAATTACAATAAATACACATAAAACAAAAGGTCCATCGTCAACTAGGCCCCACCTCAGCATAATGTTGCAACGGCAAAAATGGATTGCCGCTGCAACGCTGATATTCTGGAGGGATCTAATTGGACATCAACGTACGGAGACACAAGACAATCACTTAATATACAAATACGAGAAGTTATTCATATATAACTGATGAATACACACAAGGTCTAGTGATCTTGTATGTCTTGATACAATTTTTACTTAGAAGTGACGTCACGAGCCCAGACTCTCAAATTTTGACACGCTTTATCTTTGTATTTTTTTTGGTTGATTGACTTAAGGAAAAATTAGGTGTCTATTATTTTTTTGATAATCTAACTGACGCGTAAGATGGACGTCATGACGGACTAAATAGTTTACACCGTCCGTCATCATTCCACCCCCCCACGACAACGGCTAACAAGAGCCGAGGTCCGAGTCTCAGAGCCCTCTAGTTGACCCGTACCCCTCAGGTTCGAGTGGTCTAGAAGCTCCAGACAGAGAGGAGACTCCCCCCGTGGGGAGATGCCATCCGCCTGGAATACCTCTAGAGGCACTCGCCAATTCACGGTTTGAGGTCCCTAAGGATCTCGCCGTCCCCAAACCCGTAGACGCTGTAAAGGTCATCTGCGACCAACAGCATACACACTCAAAAAAAAACATCATCCCTAATCAGTAATTAACGCATGCGCGAGTTTGTCCATCTGCACACTAAAAAACCATGTTTAAATGAAAAGGGCATTTCTTGTAATTCAATTCTTTGTATGACCGCAAATATGTAACTGGTGAGTATCTTTGTAGACATAAATGTCAAACATAATAGCGGCATTTAAAATAATAATGTAATTATATGTATAAAAATTACACTATAGTTATTTTTATAAATTCTGCGAGCTTCAGAACTTCATCATCAGCCTTTTAATATTACCACTACTGGGGCACAGGCCTTCCCTATGGATTGAATAGGGAGATTGCGCCATGACCCACTACGACGGCCCAGTGCGGATTGGTTGGTGTTAACGACTGCAGATGCAGCTGGGACCAACGGCTTAACGTGCCTTCCGAAGCACGGAGGAAGCCGAGATAGAAAATTTTTGGTCACTCATCCAATGACCGGTTTAGGTTCCAGACGGGATTCGAACGTGCATCTTCCAAGAGATGGCGCTGTCATGCAGCCTAAGAAATACTAGAGAAAAATCGACATGTCCTCAATATAGACAGGGTCTCGATAGCATAATTGGTTAGTGCGTCCGCCCGGATAGCGGGAGATGCATGTTCGAATCCCGTCTGAAACTCGGACTGAATTGATTCTTTTTAAGAAAAAAAAATCTTTAGATTTAAACAGAAAACATTCCTGAAGGCATTGTTAATTTTTGAGAATATTATCAGTAAAATTCCATAACTGCCGGGAACTATTCAACATTACTGGGTAATCTTGCCTTATAGGTGGAGATAGTTATCTGGGGATAAGAGTTCATTTGTTCACAAGGTTTTCAGAACTTTATTTAGTAAAACAGCGTCTCTTAAGAGCGGACGTGAGCTGAGAGACATTTGAGAAATAGGTATTTGAAAATACTATTGCTGTCACGCATTGGCAAATACCGTGCGTTAGGGACAACAGTAGTTAACGCTGAAAATGGCGTATAAAAATTGCGAAATTCGAGGTTTGTCTCTCGACAATTTCGAGAACCAAACCTCGAATTCGAAAAAATTAGATATATGTAACAGATATTTTACACGAAGAATAATAAGTAGTTATACTATGCCTCTATGCTTTGATTTTTTTGTAAATGCTTATTAAATCTTCACACTAGACATCTTTGGTGGTGATAAAGATTCGTTTTTTTGGCCTTTACGAAGGCTTCCAGTTTCTTTGAAACACGAGTTATCGAAAAAAGGAAAACATAGGAGCATAGACTGAGTAAAATTATATTTTATGTATGAAAATCAATTCTGTAGTCACAGGCAATCTAGAACAATTACTAATTGTTCTAGTTCAAACAATAACTAGATTGTCTTAGATCTATACATAATTAAATATCCCCACACATAACACACACACAAACACAGACACACACAGCCACACGCACACACACACACACGCACACACACCAACACACCAGACACATAATTAAACTATACATAATTGGTTGT